GTCCGTGGCTGCTCTGATCGTTTCCTCGCTTGGCCCCACACAAAATGGCGTCTCCTGAGCAGCTGTGCGTCCCAAACCAGAAAGCAATGGATTTCTTGCTTCTGCTACAAACTCCCCAGCTGTAAGTCTTCCAACCTTCTTCATATTCCTTTATATGTGGTTCAGAATACTGGGACCATTCCCTGAACCTTCTTGGTCCTGTATTCTGTGTTATTCTCGGGAGATCTCATCAGTACATTTCCACCCGATCTGCCATCTTTTTCCGGATGCCTCATTGTTGTTTTGATTTGCATCTGGTGTGGTGGTTGTCTTTTCATGGAAGTGAGGTATTAAAATTTCTGTCCTTTTGAGATTGACTTGTTTCACATAAAGGTGATCATGTGATTCTTTCCTTTTGATCAACTCATGTAGTGTATGAGAGTAAGTCAGAAAGTACCGCCACAAAATCAGGAATCTCTATTTTTTTTTAAAAAAAAAAAAAACAGTATCAAAATCCTAAGCATGTGCCATGTCAAATCCGCATTTGTAAATGTGTCAGGTCTCTTGGCATTTGTAAAGGAGGCATTTCCATCTCTAACCACTCACTCCTGAAGAAGTCTGTGCTCTGCAATTTATATCACATCAAAACTGTAATTTGATATCCTCGAGGAACTCAAATTGTGTGTCTTTGAAATGTTCTTGAGTTTGGGGAACAAAAAGAAATCTGAAAGGGTAGGATCAGGGCTGTAGGGTAAGAGGTAAGGTTTTCCAGTGAAATTCTTAAAGGACAGCCCTGGCCATCTTCGAAGAATGAACAGGTGCATCATCTTGATGGAAGAAAATTCCTTGGTTTGAATTTTCTGGGCAATTTCTTACCAGTGGTTTAGAATTTTCTCAAAACTTCTTCATAATAAGCTCCCATAATCATCCTGTGCCCTTCGAGGAGATCTATCAAGATGACCCCTCTAGGATCTGAGACAACACTTGTCATAATCTGAGTTGCATTGAACTCACCCAGCAGATCCTTTCAGAATCCACTGTTTTGATTGGATCTTGCACTCTGTATTGTATTGGTAAATCCACGGCTGCTCCCTGGATGTGAATTGCCCCATAGACAGCATCAGCTTCAGTCTTGCTCAAGAGACCCATGCTTCTGGCAGCCATGGCGTAGCATCGAAACTACCCAACCATGGGAGTTTCCAACATGAGTGCTGTCTCACCAGTGGTAGCTCGGTGGTCTTCTTCTACCAACTTCTGGAATTGGCCCAGTTTCTTCATTTGTTGACGCTGAGGATTCTTTTCCTCTCTGTGTTCACCTTTGAGGTCTTTCCAACCTTCCTTAAAACATTTGATCTAGCTACAAAATAAATGTTTTATGTGGGACAGCATTTCCCTGAATTTGTTGCAAAGTTTCAGTTTTTTTGGAAGATGGCCACCTGAATTTTGTTAAAATTTTGATTTTAGCACTGATCCTAGAATCCTTTTTCTCCATCTCATAAGTAGTCTCCTTTTCTTTGAAGAGACCCCAGTGAGACAGAAACAAGTGTATTCCTGATAGAACTTGTCTACAGGCATCCACTGATCTCGTTTTGTTTGGAACAAACCCAGACGTGCAAACTGGAACCATAGTAACAGTGCTTTTGATTTACCCTTGTATTAAGTTTGATTGATTTTTCTAATGTTAAATCATCCCTACAACCTTGGAATAAAATCCATTTGGCCATGGTGCATGAGTTTTTAAATACTTTCATCTTTATTTCTGTCCTTCGAGTTCACATGTGTGCCCTCTAGCCCATGAATTCCTCTCCCTTCCCTCCCACTCCTGGTCGCCATCAAAGAATGTTTCTTTTCACATAAAAACTTTTTCTTGACTTTTTACAATAGTGGTCTCATACCACATATATCCTTTTGTGATTAATTTTACTCGACATAACATCCACCAGGTTCATCCGTGTTATGAGGTGTTTTGCAGATTCATCGTTATTCTTCAGAGTTTGCTATTATTTTTTTTAAGAACTTTTGTGTCTGTACTGATAAGATGTTAGACTGCAATTTTTGTTTTTTTGTTTTTTCATTTTCATTGCATTGTTTTTGTCTGGCATTGGAACCAGGGTTAGATTTGTTTCATAGTACTCATTAGGAAATATTGTGCCCTTCTTTATCTTTTGGAAGAGTTATAAACAGTATTGGTTTCAGTTCTTTAAATGTCTTAGAAATTCCCAGTGAAGCCATTCTGGTGGTCCAGGACTTTTTGGGGTGGGAGGTTTTTGATTTCTTACTCAATCTCTTACCTTGTTATAGGTCCTTTGAGACTTTATTTCCTTGTCAGTTGGTTTGCAGAGGTGGTATTTCCATCGGATCAGTTGTAATGTCCCTTATTTCAGTTTATTAAGATTTTGGTTGTTTATGTCTTCCTCTTCTTTGTTAGTTTAGCTAAAGGCTTGTCAATTTTATTGATCTTTTCAAAGAACCATCTTCTGGTTTTATGGATGAAAATAGTCCTTTGTAGCTCCTTTTTCTTTGTAATTGTTTAAGGCAGGAAGGCCACAGTAGACCGTCCTGATTGAAACCAGAAGTCTCTAGAGGTCTTGTTTTATGCAAATATTTTTTGTCATAGTTGTCCTCATGTTATACTTAATGTTTTATATACATCTTTTTTTGCTCAATACTATGTTACATAATTTTTTGTGTTTTTATGTACACATAAACATTATATATTATAGTTTTGCATATGCAAATGCATATTTTGTGTAGACCAATGTTTATTGATTTTTAGATTATTGCATAGTTCTGAATATCACACAGCTGTTCTGAAAGCTTCCAATATCTTAATTGTAGTGCACCTGATAGAGAAGAAGTATTGACAGAATCGGAAGTTAAATTGGACAGTGTCAGACAAAAGATACTGCAGGTAGCCCAAGAGTTAGCAGGAGAAGATATGCATCAGTTTCATCGAGCCATTACTATAGGTAAGTCTTGATTTGGAAAAGTATTACTGGTAATATTTTTTCAAATAGTATGCTACGTAGTATCAATGTGGGTTGTTTGAATTTTATTGACACTTGATGAGAAAATGTATATAGAAAATTTATAGTTTTTAAAATTGGGGAATTTTGAATATTAATTTAAAGGTAATTCAGGATATTTAATTGGTATGTTTAAAAGTATATAGTAAGATCACATTTAATAAAGAAGTTGAGAAAATGGATTTTATTCTTGAATGGGGTATGGTACAGTCAGATAAGGCAACTAGTGGCTCTAAGTTTCAGTGGGTTCATGAAAGACTCTCTCATTTTAGCCAGGTGGATACAAACATCCCATGGTTTCACTACATATGTTTGAATTTCAGGATAGCATTGTATTTTATGGAGTCCTGGTGAACTGTAAGGTAAGCACTGCAAGGTCAGCAGTTCAAACCCACTAACTGCCCTGCAAAAAACCCTACACAAGGTTGCTATGAGTTGGAACCGACACGTCAGCACTTACCTGCATTTTATATGTTTTTAAAAGGTTTAAGTTGTAGTCTAACTTTGTGACCAATGCTTGTTCTCAAATTGGTTGAATAAATGTTTACAGTGCCTATAAACATTTTCTTTACTTTTCTTAATGTAAGTTACAGTGATAGATTTAATCCTGAGATTAGCAGAAAGGCAGAGTCAGCTTGATTCATATTTAGAAACTACATGAAAATTCTGTGTACGTTTCTGTATAATAGCAGATTTTACTGAGCTCAGGTTAATTCAACACTAGGAAAGGAGTTTGGCATCTACTCAATGTATAGGTCAAGTTTTTTTCTAAATATAATTTTAACAGTATTCTTGTTAATCAGAGGTAGCAAACTGTGTTAAAATGCCATGTACTGTCAGAAAGTGAGGATCTGCGTGGATCAGGTTCAGCAAGGGATGTGTTACTGGATAGTGCAGTGAGGACTCATGGCACCAAAGGAGATGTCCTCTCATCATCATAGTGTATTACTGTCAGGGTTAGGAGCCCTGGTGGCATGGCAGTTAAAAGTGCTCAGACACAGAGGAGCACATAGCTCTATAATCCCACTGATGGGGACAGTCAAGAGCAGATACAACAACTGGGAAAATAAAAGGCAGGACAATGGTTATCTGGGAGTTGGGGTTGAAGCAGGGATTACTGACTGGGAAGAGGTGTGAGGGAAGTTTTTGGAGTGATAGAAATATTTTTAATACTAGTTTGGAAGAACTACATGCGACAATTAATGGTGCTGTACACTTATGATCTTTATGTATATAAATTATAATTATATATGTTTAAAAATAATACTTGACTGATGAGCTTTAGGCTCCATTTTCCAGAGTAGTTCTTTGTATCAGGGGATCACGTTAATAATCCTTTTATTCATGACAGTGCTGTGGTGACACAGATTTGTGTCCCATCTAGTGACAAGAGTCGTGTTATTCCTACTAACTATGCGTCTGTCAGAGCTCCTTTGCTGAGATTCTTCTCATGCTTTGTTGTGTATGCTCTCCTGACATGTTTCTCAACCTCTCCCAGTGAAGGAGGTAAGTTGGGGCGGTGAGCACGCTCACTTCTATCCGTTTTCAGGGCTGATTGAAAAGCATAAGTGGCATCTTCAGGCTGCTGGGAGAGTGTAGTTTTTCTCAGGAAGATAGGTCAGTTGTGACATGAGTAGTCTACTGCCATAGAGGGGGCTCGGCCAGTTACTGCTATTGCTGCCTCTGTAGCTGGAGCAGTAGTTGTGTCTGTTGCAGAGACAGGTCCATAGCAGAAGCACGTTTCAGTCACAGTACTTGCTACATACAAGTAATATGTATGCGAAGACTTAAGAAAGCTTGTGGGAAATGGAATTGGCAGAAGCCCCTCGTATAGTATTACTTGTATAAGTAAGTATGCATTGCATGCTCTTGAGGTCTACTAGGAGGGGTAGAGTGAGGAGTTGACTGTTGTAGGGAACAAGTTTGGTCTCCCAGTTTCTAGACAGACTTAATGAGTTAATAAAAATCCCATTCTATGGCTTCTTCTGATGATCCTTTTAGTTAGAATAATTAAAGCAAGCACTTCAACAGCTTCCATATCTTAGGTTTTTTCCATCACATCATGTGATAAACTGATCCTGTAAAAATTTGACAGTGTAATAAAAATTGACCATGATAATCTTCACTTTAGGCTTTAATTCTTTGCATAAAACTTTTATATTTTACTTACTTAGGAACAATATTGGAGTTCCAGCTATGAAAGATGATTCCCTATTTTTCATGTTCAGGTTGTTGTTGTTGTTGTTAAGTGCCGTCAAGTTGGCTGTTGACCCATGGCGACCCCATGTAGGGTTTCCGAGGAGCAGCTGGTGAGCTTGAACTTCAGGCCTCCCGGTTCAAGTGGACTTTGCAGTCCAGCGCATTAACCAACAGTGCCACAACCACGAGTCCTCGTGTTCAGGTAAAAGTTCTTAATTCCTGGGTGAACTAACCTAAGCAGTTGCCATTGAGTCTCCTTGGACTCACGGTGACCCCATGTGTGTTAAAGTAGGACTGTACTCCCCAGGATTTTCATGGCTGACTTTTCAGAAGTAGATGACCAGGCCTTCCTTCTGAAGCTCCTCTGTGTGGACTCGAGCATATGAGCTGCCTACACCCCTAGGGGACTGCTAATTCCTGCTGGTTTCTGTGACCTGCCCTCAAGTTCGCCTGTGCCACCCCCATGATCACAGAGAACAAGACCATTGTGAGCCCTGGGGCTTCCATTGACGGACTTCCACAAGTAGGTTCTCAGGCTGTTCGTACTGGTCCGTCTTTGGCAGCTGTGATGAAGTCTGTCCAGCTTGGTAGTGAGATGCAGACAGCTTCTGAGCCTGGCTCTCCCACATGGAATAAGAGACTTCTGCCCCCGAAGCCCCAGTGTTCCCAGTCCATGGTTATTGCCAATGAGTTGATTTCAGCTTGCGCTCCACTGCAAGGTCAGTTTGGACCACAGGGTCGGTGGTTCAAGTTCACCAGCCGTTCCTTGGAAACCCTATACAGGGTCGATATGAGTCGGAACTGACTCGATGGCTCGTAGCAACACCACCACTACCAGTTCAGTGCTTATCGTACAGGGCCACCAGGGCTCCCTAATAACTGGTGGGACATCTTAGGTTGCTGTATTTGGTCTAGTAGCTGTTTTGTATGTTGTGTTGTTGTTGCTGTTATTAAGTGCTTTCAAGTCGAATCCGATTCATAGCGACCCTGTATAGGGTTTCTGAGAAGTGACTGGTGAGTTTGAACTGCCACGTTGGGGTTCAAATTCAGCTTGTGGCCCAGCGCATTATCCTATGTCCTTGGTTAAGTCATCAGTGAGTGAAGTATACAGAAGGAGTTTAGATAAGGCTGGTGGAGGTGGTGGTGATGTGCCACGGAGTTGGTTCTGACTCATAGCGACCCTGTACAGGGTTTCTGAGACTGTAAATCTTTACGGGAGCAGAAAGCCTCATCTTTCTCCGCGGAGCAGCTGGTAGTTTCAAACTGCTGACCCTGAGGTTAGCAGCCCAACCTGTAACCACTATGCTACAGAGCTCCTTTAGATAGGGTAAGGGTCATAAACATCCTACTTAAATCAAAAGCTGCACATAAGCTTTTTAAAACAATAGAAATAGGAAAAATTAAAAAGCCAAAAGGACATTTCATAATGTTAATGGAGTGTTTCTTAACTCAGGAAGGAATTACTACCTTCCTGGAAAGTCCTTGGATAGAACCAAAGCTTAAATTTAATAGGATCTGCTGATAGGTTCAAGGAGCTCTGGTAGCATAGTGGTTACGAATCGGACTGCTAATCTCATGGTCAGCAGTTCAAACTACCAGCTGTTCCGTGGGAGAAAGATGAGGATTTCTGCAGCCGTAAAGATTTCCAGCCTCAGAAACCCTGTACAGGGCTGCTATGAGTCGGAAATGACTCAACAGCACATAACAACAACAACAAGCTGATAGGTTCATTCGTGGCTGGTGATGTGAAATCAGAACAAATTTTTTAGATTTGGGTGAAGCAGAGCCCTGGAATGGGAGACTTGGAAGAGGCTTAGTGAGCCCTTTCAGGAGCCTGATGTAGGGGGTTGGACTGTTGCCAACATTGTGGAGAGCGACACACACGTCAAAGGACGCGCAGTACCCCAACATCTCTGAATGGGACTCAGCGGGTTCCAACTGTGTTCGTCAAGAAATTGGGTTGCTGTGCCGTGCAGATTTTTCTAAGACAGATTAAAATTACAGGGCGTGAACCCGTATTTTTTTCCGTTCTGGATCCACCCACAGTTTACAAATTCAGGTCTGTTTTAGGTTCACTTTGCCACTCCTGATTGAACCGGGAAGAACCAGTTCTACTCCTGGATAGAATGTTAATAATGTGAGCAATCTTCAGATTTTCCCATTGAACTGTAGCATTTAGAATTATTATAAACATTGTAGTCTGTTTTAGGACTTTGTTTATGATATATATGTTTTCTTTAAAAATTGATTACTATTGGGTTTAAAAAATTAAGGATTCCTTATATGTTACATTTCCATAAGAAGTCTTTGGAATGAGGTTTTAAACTGACGCAAGGTTGTGTGTGTGTGTGTGTGTGTGTCTGTCTGTCTGTCTGTCTGTCTTAAAGGAGGAAGCGATCAAATAAAGATGCTTCTGGACTAAGACATTTGCTGACAGATATTTTATTTGATAAAATCAAGTTATTTATAATTAGAATAGGATTAACAATATGATGATTATGAATAGCTTGCTGCTTGTTTTGGTGTTGTTCCAAATAGTTGTTCTTTTGACTTGAAGATAAAACAATTCTGGCATGGAACTAAAGGAGTTCTGTGCTTTTCCTCATTAAGAATAGTGCTAATGGCACGCAGAGCATTTCCCTGAGGGATACTTGTGTGAGCTCATTGAGTGTCCTAATACCCGAACAACAGAAAGTTAGGTCTGTTTTCTGCACATTTCTTATCAGTGCACATTGCACATTGTC